GTAAAAAAAAAACTTGTAACAGCCCACGAATCCAAAGTTGGCAGAGTAGAGGAAGAAGTTAGCGTTAATGCCCAAACAATGATTGTAGGCAGAGGGCAGGCCATAGGTTTCAGAAAGCTTAAATCTAAATCATGCTGGGTTTCTCCATTTTCTCAGGTGGTGGGATAATGAGGAGACACTTAAATCACGATAAGATCAGAACCGGTTTCCACAACCTCCTCTTTCTGCCTGTTCATTTTTGTTCCTTAAATTTGTGTGCGGTGCCCAAACATTTTCAAAACCTGACCCATGACCATGTTCCGAGAGAAGTTCAAACACACTGCTTCGTTGATTAATACTGTGGCAGAGGGGCTGGTGGGGATAAGGGAGAAATATGGACAGTAGTGAGTTAAAAGTTTCAAGCTGCGGTCACCTATGATGTAGCCATAATAACCCGGATAAACGTACACAAGATTTACATAACTTGCATGCATGCAAATTGCTGCAGGTCATGTGTAGTAAATAAGAGTCACTGAATCAGTTTGTGTTAAAGAAGAAAAAAGTGTGAACAGTAAGAACTGGTAGACTGGAACTACACATTCTTCTGTCCAACTTTGTTTAACGCTTATTTGCTTTCTCAGTCAGTGACAAGAGACTTGTCTGTTTTTTTTTCCCCAATTAGTCTTGACTGACATAATTAAGCAGCCCACTTCATAGTACTGGAGAGCAGGATACTGGATTCCATAGGCAATAGTTATTTTCAGTGAATTTGACATGAAAAGTATCAGCATCTGGAACATGTAGCTCTTTCTTTCCTTTACATTGTTTTTTAAAACAGCAGGTAAGGTTTTGAAAGAAGCAATCAATAAGTTTTAATATTTTTTTATAAAAACAATGACAATACACAAGACCATGAAAATCAAAAGGGGCTCAGAACCACCAAGCCTTACGATACACATTGCAGTGATGCAGTATTCAGCTATATAACTAACTGAAATGGCTGAGGTCTAGACTGAAGGGGGTGTGGCCAGATGGGCATCTGGGCAGCTATCACAGCAGGGAGGTGATGACAGGTGCACCGTGCCCTGAAAAGAAAGTAAAAGCCAACCATAAGTGGGTACTTGCTCAGCACAGGTAGAAGCAGACAGAAAGCACAGACTGAAATCCCCATGATCTTGAACTAACCAAGCCAACACCAGGTCTAGTTTTGTCACTCTGGAACATAAGTTGGAAGATGCTGTGGTTCCTGGGATGGGTGCTCTTGATGTAACTCCAAGGCTGATAGATCATAACTGATCTAGATATACATTACAGCACTGTACCTACTGCCCTCTGACCAGTGAAAACAAATAGCAGATAAAAACTCTATTTCTCTCTAATAAATCCCTGCTCCTTGTCCCTGAATTAGGAACAGAAAAGAACAAATGTACCAGAAATAAGAAATGGCCCACTTATTTTTTATCTTATTAATTTCTGGGGCACAACTTACCTAGGTGCCTCTACTGTACCAGCCTGTAGGTGATGTATCTTCCTGCGGTCTCGCTGGGACGAATAATCTTCACGACCTGATACACAAGCAGGGAACAAAAAAGACTTGACTTTTTACACTGGATACTGTGCAACATACTGTAGAAAGAGGCAAGCGTACTGCTTTGTGATCAGCGTGGTCA